TGAAATTTTGAAAAATAATTTTATGACATTTTATTCCATTAAGTTTGATTATCCAATAAAATAGAACAATTTTATATTAATATATTATAAAGTAATATATACATTTTAAAATTACATTTTTTTATAGTTTTTATTTTGTAAAAATTTTCACAAATTTATTTTTTTAGAACTTTAACTTGAATTTTCAAAATTTTTTTCTTTTTTTAAATTTTTATGTAAATAATCATTAAGAGCTTGATCTATTATTATTTTTTATTATTTTTATTTATTTAGTAATTTTTATAAGTTTATGTTTTCAGAATTTTAATTTTAATTTTTAAAATTTATCAATTTTATCTTTTGAATTATTTTTTAAAAAAATTTAAATTTTATTTAAATTTTTTTACTGAAACTTTTGTTTTCCATGTTTTTGAGTGTTTTCAAAATTTTCAATAAATAGGTTTTGAGTTGTATCTTATAAATTTTCCTGTTGTCGAAAATGATTTTCAAAAATAGCAAACCAAATAAGTTTTTAGTGTTTTGCAAAATTAAAAGTTGAAAACAGTCTGAAAATAGCAAACCAAACGCACCCTTACACTTTACTTCCTTTGAGAGTTGTGTTTATGTACTATTTGGATGATTCCAAGTATTAGGTAAATTAAAAACTGTACAATTTCAAGTTTAATTGGAAAAAATTGATTATAATTAAATAAATTAAATAAGAATACATTAATAAACAAACAAAACAAATACGTTCTCAATAAAGAAAAGGACTATAATTTGAAATAAGAAAATAAGGAAAGTCAATCTATATAAATGGGAAGGAGGACGTCCCATCATGTGTAGAATCAGGGGAAGAGGGGTGGGGGTATGTTACTTAGTTTCCTTTTTTTTTTTTTTAAGGTAAAAAAAAAAAATTGATATTTTTTCTATGTATCAATTCGGTATAAAATTTATTTTGCTCCGATTGGGTCAGCCCCTGTGTAGAATACATGTCTATTATTATTATTATTATTATTATTATTATTATTATTATTATTATTATTTGTAAAATTGTGTTTGTATAGGTATTTTTTCATTATTACACAATGAACTAAGTAATGTTATTTGTGTTAAAAATATCTATTAATGTTTTTGTCAAATAAAAGATTTTCCTATTTGTACAAACAGGCGTTGATATGAGAAAAAGAACCTTCAGTGTACAATGAAGGAAGTGTTCTACGAGCTGAAATGGTACAAATGTTTGAAATCTAACAAGCTAGCGAGAATTATGTATTCTTTTACACTATTTGTTAGCGAATTGACAAAGACGAAGTTATGACAATATATGAAATAGGAATCGCAACGCAAGAAGAACATAAGAAATTTGGCAGAAAAATGGAGAATTTATTATAATGGAAAAAGAATACAAAAATAGTATGTTTACAATGTTGTAAAATTCATTTAAAAATCATACAAAGTGATATGAAAGCCAAAAATTTCAGTGTGTATATAGAACCCAAGAAAATACATTAAAGAGGATAAAAAATGTTCCAAAACTAAGGAAACAAAAATTTCTAGGATAATTAGTTTGCTTAAGCGTCAAACAGGCAACTAGCAAGCGATAGCTTAGGTGCCTCCAATGGTGTCCAAACACTAAGGTAGTGGTTGGTTTGCATTTTCATTTTCCATTTTTATGTTCAAAACGATTTTTAATTTTCCTCGAAAAAGGCCCGTTTTCCACGTTTTAAGCGTTTTCGACATTTATAACTGAAAAGGATAAAAAGTTGTTTTGCGTTTTCAGTTATGAATTTTAACTCATTTTTTAAAATTCATTTTTTAAAACGACGGACCAAACGGATTTTCCTCGTTTTTGAAAATGGAAAATCGAAAATGGGCCGAAAATGGTAAACCAACCACGGCCTAAGTTTTCGGATTAAACTTCACTTTTTGACCTCTTTAACACTTTCAATCAAAACACCACTTTCTAACAAAATTTGGGTCACGATATTAACTAGTGGAATTAAATATTAAAATTAAAAGTATATACAAAGTCAAGAAAATGGTTAACTTTAATATTAAACTTCACTTTCTGACCAATTTAGAAAGCATGACGCATGTCATTCAAGACTCAATATAACCCATATTTTTTGTGCTAGATGGGCTGAATCAAGAGTTATTTATAATCAAACATTAGATGATCCTCCGATGGTGGATCACTACACTCGAGCTCTAGCCAAATGGGAGATCCTCGTTGCTTGCATAGAACTATTGCTAGCCATTGGCTTTACACTTGCTCCAATCTAACTCGTTAACTCAAAATCATTACTTAAGCAAAAGTCTTTTCATTTTTCTTTCTTTATTTATTTTTTTATGACAGGGGAACCCACAATCGCTACCTTCGGGTGCGCATTGGATAAATTATCGAATTGACGCAATAGCCTACAAACCACACGCAGTCAGGTAAACCGTACTAGGGAAGTCCAGTGCAACATACTCGACCGAGAAAGTGTTGGTAGGGGAAATTGAACTCATGACCAAAGGTCTCTATGCTCACTTACTCATCAACTCGACCACCCCATGAAGGGCCTTTTCATTTTTCTTTATTGCTTCTATGCAAGGTTGCGTTTTGGGAGAGGTAGGACAATTCGTGACAAACTTATCTCAGATCCAACATAATTTACACGTCTAGACAGCATAGAGCTTCGACGACAAGCTCCACACCACCACCACAGAGAAAAAAAATTTGAGAAAGAAAAGATGATGAGGCTGAGGTTCACTCTTGGCCCATGTTCTAATAGGCCCACATGCTACTGGTCCCTCAAGAAAGCCCAAAAACAACCCATGATCTCTGTTTTGGATTAGGTCAGCTGAGTATTCAACCTGCATCCTTATGTGGGCCCTTCACTAATGACAGGGCCCACAAGTCGCATGTCATGTTCCTTTAACCCTGTCAACTCCAAAATTGTTAAAATAATTATGAATTTTGATCCTCAAAAAGATCAATTTTGTCTTTTGGTTTTATTTTCTTATTTCTTTTCCACTATAATTATCTTCCACGAAAAAAATTTGGTCGAGCATTTTTGATACATCAAAGTGATAAATATACGTCAACATCATAACGTTTTTCTTATAAGAGTTCAATAATATGAACAAGATTGTCCTATTTCTATTTCATTTTCAACGATGGCCCTATAAGAGAACGAAAACTAAATTAACTATTAACGATTTGGGCATGTACGTATTTGAAAGAGAGCATCTCAATAAAATTTTCTTTCTCATCCGATCGGGTGAGTTGTACACTCAACACATTTCAAGTGATTCACGCAAAATTGTGAAATTCTACGTTACTCTAAAAATATCTGTGTTTAAATTTTTTTGAATTTGATGCAGTTTGAACTTTCTCGAAGAATGTGTTTTTAAAAATAATTCACATGGAGGCATTGAATTCAAATGTTTGTTCTTTAACGAGAAAGAACAGGTTTCTCAATCAGTATAACATAATGCAAGCACTGATTGATTTTTTTGGAATTTTGTACTTGTAAAATACTTAAAACATTTATTTTATATTATATATAAATATGGTGGCAAAATCGATATTTATCAAACTAAAAGAGGACATGATCTATGTAAAAAAAAAAAAAAAAGGACTGTTCGAAGATTTGTTCATGAAAAATTAAATCTGTCTTTGACAACCATTTTAACGAGTTTTTTTTTTAAATAGAAAAATGCGTTCTGGAATAGCGATTTTTTAAGAAAACGTGTAGTTAAAAAGTAGAAAATCTTTTGAATTTATATGCAAAATATTTTATCGTGTGAATGCGTGATTGAAAATAAATTTGAGAAAAAGAATTTTATTTTAATGATCGATAAATAAGGGCTAAGTGTCTCGATATTTTTTCAAAAAAATTGTTGAACAATTGGTTGATGCTTCAATGTACCTTTGACAAGCGTCTTAGGAATATTTCGTTTGATGTGTAGAATATATGAAGAACATGCATATATCCCGCGGATGCATCATTGGAATAATTTTATTATTAAAAAACTTGATTTGTTCTAAACTTCAAAATCAAACGTACCAAAATATGTATAATTAATTAAGTATACATATTTAATAATACACACACTAGGGAGTAATTGAGTGTGTGAAAGATTAGTGTCGGGACAAGTGGAGATATGTAATTAGCTATTATTATATTATATAACTAAAATTATTAGCTATTAATTAAGTAATCCTCGTTGTTTACAAAACTATAATAATTTATAAGATAATTATCATTGATATCATATCAAATGAAAAGATAAACATCGAGACCAAACATTATTATTCGAAATACACATGTGACATGTTTGTCATATTAAACAAGAAAAATTAGTAACTTTTTGCGTTATATTAATCGTTTTTAGTATTGCAGAGTGTACGTATACCTAATTCTGTAATTGAATTTCGTTAAATATAGGAAAAGAATTACAAACTCGACTATTATGTAATACTTCGATTGCCCACATCTTGTCTCTAATTTCAACACGCTAGGAAAATTGTTTTTTAGTTAAATTGAATTTAAACACTAAAAAATAAGACAACAATGATATCGCGCTATATGTTCTCTGTAATGTGTTTTCTGTCAAAAAATTCTGTACTTGAAACCCAGCTGAGACATTGAGTGGAGAAAGATAAATAAATAAAATTCAAAATATTCAATTAAAAATATATCCGAGTCGGTTCTCAATAATTTTAATTGAATTGCACCAATCGACTCGATTTTTAGAAAATTGTCCTCAATATATTGGGGGCTAAAAATCAAAACATGAAAAATCCTAGATGCCGAGTGTCAGCATGGGAGAGTGAAACCCATGTGACTGCAAGCAGCTTTTGTCATTAACTTCCTGATTATCCGATTTTCTCTAAATAGAATTATATAAATAATCGAAAGGGCAAAATAGTCACTAAATAAAACCATGTGAAGCCTATTACTGACTGACTGTCATCGTGCAATGGTCCAAAATACAAAGACGATCATGTCGGTCATCAGTGTAATAATGTTGAAATCTAAGGCTATTTTTAGAGTTTGACATGCATAAAATGGCCCTCTGAATCCCAATTTGAAATCATTCACATATCTACCCACTCCCGGAAAAATGCAGAGGAGTTCAAGATTGGGAAGCGTCATCGTTCTGTTGGTGCTGTTTTGTGTGGCTGCCAGCCATCTTGCCTTGGCCTTTACTGATGGTAAGTTAAGAAATTGTTTCTCTGTTACAAATATATCTGTCTGAGTTTTCAGTTTTAAGTTTTCGGGATGTGTTTGATACTCAGTACTGAATTGTAGCATTGGCATTTGCGTGTGCAGCCATTTCGAGCATGTTTTTTAAAATCTTGTCAATGATGCTGTCTAGTCCAATACTTTTTGGTACTATGTACAGTGTGCTCTTATCGACTAAACCAAATCGAGTAGACAGTCTCCATTTCAAGATGTGCATTCCCATATTTCTGTATTGTTTTCGATACATATTGAAGTATCTCGTCTAAAAAATCGTAACTGTTAGAGGATCACTTTTGTTAATTCAAATTAGTCTTCAACAAGCTGAATCTGGACACTTCAATCTATTTTGTTGATGATAACGTTGGTCTTGGATTATCCGAGGAGGTCTTATCCTAGTAATGACAAGAAAAGTCAAGATCACACAACTCTAGTTCTTAACAATTTAAGGAGACAAAGGAAATGAGTCCTTTTACAGCTATATGGTATCAATTAAGTAAAATCCAGTACTTAATTTCTGTAGTGAAGCAAATATTTATATCTATGCTTCTCACAATGGTGACTTTATCTGCTGATGGGCTGTGACCTGTTTGTTATTAGGAGCTAAGAATCTCAACAACTTAGCCTGAGGGTTCAGTTTCACAGGGATGAGGGACAATCAACTAGGCCTTGTTTTCGATAAATTTGAGGTTTTGACTGTAGAATTCCTCATTGATAACACTTCCGCCAAGAACCCGGCCTTGGGATTGGGGACAATTGGCTACATGAATCATTTTTTTCCGCACTATAGTTAGTTCATTTCTAGATCTGCCTTAGCAACTCTAAATTATCCGAGCTCTCGGTAGCATTATCCTTTGGTAACATTTTAGACTACAAGGACGATGTTTTTCAACGCGATTATAGCGTTACTAGTGTGAATTCTTGCAGGACTACTACTCAATGGCAACTTTGAATTGGCACCCAAGTCAACGGACATGAAAGGAACGGTTGTACTAAAATCCAATGCAATACCAGAGTGGGAAATTTCTGGCTTTGTTGAGTACATAAAGGCAGGGCAAAAGCAAGGTGACATGCTGCTAGTGGTTCCTCAGGGTTATGCTGCTGTTAGGCTAGGAAATGAGGCGTCGATTAAGCAAAGATTAAATGTTACGCCAGGAATGTTCTATTCGTTAACATTTTCTGCTGCACGTACGTGTGCACAAGATGAGAGGCTGAATGTGTCCGTGGCACCAGATTCTGGTATGCTACCAATTCAAACAGTTTATAATAGTGAAGGTTGGGACTCGTATGCTTGGGCATTTCGAGCATCCTCTAGAGTGGTTGTGATAATACTTCACAATCCAGGAGTCGAGGAAGATCCAGCATGTGGACCACTGATTGATTCGATTGCCATTCGCGCTCTTTACCCTCCCAAACCGACTAATCGTGAGTTCATCATATCTCAACTTTACTCTATTTATCGTCCATATCTTTGACTACCATATTAGATTAACGTCCTTCTGGAGCAATTATATCCCGTACTTTGTTAGTATTAGCTACATACTTTTGCATGACATAAGATTATTGTGCTTAAAACTTTTAAGTCACTTTCTAAAGGATAAGTTTCACTTGTAAAAAAGTAATTTCAGATATCATGGTCGACAAAAGCAACATAAAAAGTAAGTTTGAGTTACTTTCCAGCACCAAAACATGCTGTAAGCTTTTTTACCCTGATATTTCTAGAGTGACCTTTTGGACCACTATGAATAAATGTTCGAATTCATTTCCATTTTGGCAGCAACATCACATGGTGCAACTTACACGTACGAATGTCCATATGCATCTCTAAAAATGAACTTTAGATTCACATGCAATGAATTACTATTTAAATGAATCTGTATAATCATCCAATATGCTCTAAGTGATTGAAGAAAAGTTTCATTGATGTCGACTGGGGACAGCTCGTGCTTTTCTCATAACTATTCGGTTGCAGTATCGAAAGACATTTCTAATCACACGATCATCTTCTTCTAATATGGGGTTGTTTTACGTGAGCTGGTACTAATTATGCAGAAAACCTACTGAAAAATGCGGACTTTGAGGAAGGTCCATATATCTTGCCTAACACAAGTTGGGGAGTCCTTATCCCGCCTAACATTGAGGACGATAACTCTCCTTTACCAGCCTGGATGGTCGAATCTCTCAAAGCTGTCAAGTACATCGATTCTGATCATTTCTCGGTAATGTTGAGTTACCTTATTTAAAAGCTTAAGTTGTTAGAAATGGGACACGTTTATCTATTTATATTTTAATCTTCAACAGGTACCACAAGGCAAACGAGCAATTGAACTCGTTGGTGGAAAGGAAAGTGCCATCGCACAAGTGGCGCGAACCATTGTTGGCAAAATTTATGAGCTCACATTTTCGGTAGGAGATGCTAGCAACTCTTGTGAAGGATCCATGATTGTTGAAGCATTTGCCGGCAAAGACACTATTAAGATTCCTTACGAATCCAAGGGCAAAGGCGGGTTTAAACGTGCTGTGCTTCGTTTTAAAGCTGTTGCGACTAGAACCCGTGTCATGTTCTTGAGCACGTACTACCATACAAGCAGCAAAGACTTTGCATCGCTTTGTGGCCCTGTCGTTGATGACGTGAAGCTGCTAAGTGTTCGGAATCCACGAAGACTTGTGTGATTGGAGCAAACCTAATAATGGCCTAAGTCTTTGGTTTATACTAAAATGTTTTTGGCTGTAAGGAAGAGTGATGTTTAATTATACTTGCATTTTACTATTAGCAATACTTCCATACAATTTAAGTCATGTAGTATATATACAGAAGTGTGCGACTATTGTTAAATGTTCTTGCAGCATAATAAACTCAGAATTTAAAGTAATTGGGATGGTAGTCTTGTTATCTTGGTTTTTCTTAACCTTGTTTCTTTTTAAGATGCATTTGTACATAAAATTTAATATGGCACTTTCAATAAATGGGATTAATGATGGTAGATGATGAACTCCTCCGAGGACGGTGTACTGCTGCTGCTTTGGTACCTGAAATGGTGGGATTTTATCCCTAACCCCTCGGTGAAACTCCGATAATCAAGTTAGTGGAGCACTCAAAAGAGTGTATAAAAGATAGAAAGATCTTTCCTCGATGTGTGCACAATCTCATTCTGTGCCTATGATAGCAGGTCGATTTCCCAGCTCTGATAGCTCGGCTGCATTCCTTGCATAATCTCATTAGTTTCTACCGAGTTCGGTCTGCCAATTGACCTAAAGGTATAGAAGATAGTTACTTCTTTTTCTTAATTAATATTGTGTAACAGTCCATAGTTCACTTCATCAAGTGTACTTTTAGTTAATTAGAATACCGACTGCAATTTGCCTTTTGAATGTTAGATTCGATATGAATATTTGTGGAGAAAAAGCAAAGAAAAAGAAAATATTGCTCGAAAAGTCAAGAATCACCAACAATCAAAGAAATTCTTCCTTTCTTTTTCTTGGTAATGCTAGAAAAATAGCAGCTGTAGGCCCGTAGTGAGATAGATTTAGTAAGTATATAAAAAATGATTGAGCTATAGTGTCCGTAGATGTCTTGCTAGGCCTGTCGTCAACTTCTAGATAACAAGCGCTTATTGAGTTCTATAAACCGAATCAGATTATTATTATTATCATTATTGCCGTCGTCGTCGTCGTTGTTTTTTTAAAATTACACTTGAACAAGATTGGCTAGATCCAGAGTCTCTAGCCTCATGAATGCTTTGTGAAGCCTCAATTTCTGGATTGCTACTTGATGTAATTTGACTTGGTACCAGTCATGGATTTGAACCTCTTTAATGGACAGCTGCAAACTACAATATTGGAAGACAATGTTTAACAGAAACTGTTGTTGAATCACCTCATTTATAAACTCGAGTTATTAGAGAAGAGACAATTGTTGTCTATATGCCTTTTTATGTGTGGATCGATCACGATTATTTATTTTTTATCAAAAGCTTAACGTGTGTATAAATTTTCATATATGAGTAGCCATGACCGTAAGACTTCAAAATAGGCCAATTTTCTGCTCGGAATAAAATGTGTCTGTTAAAAAAAAGGATAGGCCCATCATAAAATAACACTTCTACTAGCAATTAGAGACATAAAATGACTTAGAAAATGAGTACATACCTCACTTATGACTCCCTCTTTAACAGTATTCAAAATGGTAAATCATGTGAGCTGATCTCTACTAGTGTAACTGTTGGGCAATTTTAATTATTGCAAGAATAAAATTTTCAATTCAAGCAATTAACTAGAACGATTAACTATGTAAATAAATAATTTAAGCAAAAAATAAGAAAATTCAACACTAAATTTTTACGTGGAAAAAGCCCTCCAGTGTAGAGGGAAAAAATCACGGGCCAACTCCGGCCAAAATTCACTATAATTAAAATATAGATTACAATATTCAAGTTTATGCCCCAAAACTTGAATTCTCCACAAATTGAAAATACCACAATAATCTATCTTTAAGACAACAATTTATCTCACCACAAATCAACAATTTGATCAACCTTGTGAGAACCCACTTTGAATACAAATTCAAAATATATCTTAGAGAAATTCCCAATTTATATATTGTGGAGAAGAAAAATAACCCATGTCATTCTACACCTCAGTAAAGAAATTTTTTCTAGTAGTAACAATTTATTCTCCAGCCAACACCAATTTTACTTCTCTTTCAACCGGTTCTTTCTCTCTCTATTTCCACTCAACAGCCTCAATTTTTCACAATTCTAGCCGCCATTGTTGACCCTTAAATTTGTCTCACAAATTCAGTCGAGAGAGAGAGAGAGAGAGAGAGAGAGAGAGAGAGAGAGAGAGAGATGTAATTATATATATAGCCACAGTTTTTGACCTAATTAAAGATAATCTAGTAAATTGGGCTTAGGTGGGTTTTAATGGGCTGCAATAGGCTGGATCTACTCAACAATCTCTCACTCCAGCCCACTGAGGAAAGGAGATTATCTTCTAACAAATTAGTTAGAATCCATGCCGGCCAGTCCGGTACAAAACTCAAGCTTTTCTTTGGTCACAACTTTTGTTATCATATCAGTCAGATTTTTCTTTGTATGAATCTTTTCTAACAATATCAATTGTTCTGCCACTATCTGTCGTAGCCAATGATATCTCACATCAATGTGCTTTGTTCGAGAATAATAAGTAGCATTCTTGCTCAAGTCTAATGCACTCTGACTATAACAATTAATTACATACACATCTTGCTTCAAACCCAAATATTGGAGAAATCGTTTCATCCAAAACATTTCTTTCGCTGCTTCAGTTGCTATAATATACTCAGCCTCAGTTGAAGATAAGGCAACACACTTTTATAATTTTGACTGCCATGAGACAGCTCCTCCTGCAAAAGTAATCAAATATTCTGGAGTTGAGTTTTTACCATCAAGATCACTAGCCATATCTGCATCTGTAAATCCCTCCAAAATTGGTTTTGAACCTCCAAAAGTTAAGCACATCTTAGAAGTACCTCTCAGGTATCTAAAGATCTATTTCACTATCTCCTAATGATTTTTACCGGAATTAACAAGAAACCTGCTAACTACCCCAACTGCATGAGCAATGTCTGGCTGTGTACAAACCATGACATACATCAAACTTCCAACCGCGGAGGAGTAAGGAATCTTTGCCATTCTTTCTTTATCTTCCTCCTTAGAAGAACAAGTCACCTTACTCAGTTTGAAGTGACTACCAAGTGGTGTTCCAACAAGTTTAGCATTATTCATGTTAAACCTTTCCAGCACTCTCTCTACATATTTCTCCTATGATAACCATAACTTTCTGGCTTTCCTATCATGGCGAATATGCATTCCCAAAATTTGTCTTGTTGGTCTAAGACCCTTCATGTCAAACGATTTGAACAGATCTACTTCCAAACTACGAATTAACTGAACATCCTGTCCCACTATCAACACATAATCCACATATAACAAAAGGATGATGAAATTACCACCATGGAATTATCTGACATAAACACAATGATCTGCATCTGTCCTGGTATAACTATGACCCACCATAAAGGAATCAAATTTCTTATACCACTGTCTTGGAGCCTATTTCAATCCATACAAACTATTTTTCAACCTGCAAACCATATATTCTTTTCCTCTTACTTCAAATCCCTCTGACTGAACTATGTAGATTTCTTCCTCTAAATCACCATGGAGAAAGGTGGTCTTCACATCTAATTGCTCAAGCTCAAGATCCAAACTAGCTACTAAACCCAAAACTACTTGAATAGAAGACATTTAGACAACAGGAGAGAATATCTCTTCAAAGTCAATCCCTTTCTTCTGACCGAAGGCTTTTACCACCAATCAAGCTTTATACTTCACTAGCTTTTCATCGTCTTTTTTCAACTTGAATGCCTATTTATTTTTCAATGCCTTTTTACCTTTAGGAAGCTCTGTTAGCTCATAAGTGTTATTCTTCTACGAAGAGTTCATCTCTTCTTGCATAGCCTTCATCTAGCTTTGTTTGTCCCTATCAGATTCTACCTCTTGAAAATATTCTGGCTCCCCCTCATCAGTTATGAACACATAATCTAATACTGGATATCCGGTTGATGGGCGATGCTCCATGGTAGATCTTTTGATCTGAGGTTCTGATGTAGTAGGCTGCTCACCCAGCTCATCCTCTAAATCATTCTCATCAACCCTTGTTGGCTCATCAGCATGAGACACTGTCTGAAGGTAAAGAGACAGGTGTATGGTCAGTGACACCCTCAATAATACGTTTTTGATTCCCAGATTTCTCAACATCTGCCAACTTCCGATTTTCATAAAAAATCACATCTCTACTGATAAGTGTGTTTTTGCACACTTATTTACATCACAAGCACGACTTAAATACAAGTAAAATGATCGAATTGTTACTTAATTTTATCGAATTCATGCAATATATTTGATTCTATGGAAATAGTGGAATTCAGGAGAAAATAGCCGAAAAAGGACCAAATTGGAGCAAAATGAAAATTCAGGGACCAAATTGCAATTATCTGAAAGTTAATCCGATGAACACATCAAGGATTTGATCAAGTTAAGCATCAATTGGAAGTTATAATTGAACATTGGAGCAACTAGAAACAAGAGAGGAGGTCAAAGAGTGAAGGAATGAAATTTGAGGATCAAAATGACTCAATTTAGAAGTTCACTCTACTATGCGATCGCAAGTAACCCTTTAGGGATTAAAAATGCTATATTTCATATACCTATGCGGTCGCATAGATATGACCTGTGCCCGATTTTTGCAGTTTCCTTATATGATTGCAACTCCTTTGATAACCTAATTTCGACGGGTTTAAATAGCAAAAAAATGTCCAGAAGCCGCAAGCAACGAATTGGGAGGCAAAAAATTCATTTTGGAGAGGATTTGAAGGCAAGAACAAGGATTGATGCGAAGATTTACAAGATTTCTTCAAGTTTTGATAACCCGGTGATGTATTTTATTCAAAACTTGATAGACTTCGTTATTTTTATCATGATAGGCTAGATTTCTGTAACTAGGTGATCGATGAACCATGTAATTATTATTAAACCTGTTATTTCATGACTTTGAATTCATAGTTCGATGGGATTATTTGAATGAATTATATTGATTTATTTGTTTCCACAATTAATGTGCACTTAATTTGTGTGAATTTGGTGGTTTAATTCTGAATTTGAGAAAATTGGATTAAACTCGACATATATAATTCATTACAGGGTCTGATAGGGGATAGAAATATACCCCTATGCCCTATGAAAATCTTTAATTGCTCACAAAAAATTACATGCGTTCTTGTATAATTGCATCCGTCATAGAAATATAGGCTGGTGATTTATGAGAATAGGTTCAATACATCTCGAGAGAGAG